AAAAAAAAAACAAACACAAAAACAAAACAACAACAACAAAAATCCCTCCAAACCGCAACAAACCTCCCTTTCTCGCCCTCCCGTCTCCCCCTCCCCTTTATTTTCGTTCTTTTTTTTTTTTTCCCGCCTGCCCATCCCGCACATGGCACCTCCCGCCGCGCCCCCGCTCCCGCCGCCCCGCGCCCCGCGCAGCCCGCGATGCCGCGGCCCCCCGCCGCCTCCTCCTCCTCCTCCTCCTCCTCCTCCGGCCCCGCACCGCCGCCCCGCAGCCCCTCCGCCGGCCCTTGCCTGCCGCTCCGCAGCCGCCCGGGATGCGGGGTCGGTACCACGGTCCCGGTCCCGGTTCCCCGCTCGCTGCCGGCGCGGGGACCGCGCGTGGGTTGCGCGGTGGGTTGGGGGTGGGGGGGGGGGGGGAGGGGGGGGGGGGGGTGGGGGGGGGGGCGCGCGCCCCTCGCGGCGGGGGGGGCCGGAGGGGCTGGGTTGGGAGGAGGAGGAGGGGGAAGGGGAAGAGGAGGAGTAGGAGTGCGTAGGAGGTGGGGGAGTCGGTGTGTGGTGCACGCCGCACTCCCAGCACAAAAGCCCAGGGAAAGAAACTCTTGGAAAGCTGGGAGCGAACCGTGGGCCGGGCAGGAGCAGGTCGAACCGTCCCCTGGCTGTTCGTCTCCACTGGATACATTTTGCGACTGCGAAGGAATTAAATCCGATTTTCTCTCTCTTTTTTTTTTTTTTTCCCCCCCTACCCCCAGGATTTTTTTTTTCATTTTTTCTTTTTGAGAGCGAGAGGGAAGGCAGAGCCGCGCTTCTCCCCCCTCTTTTCACGCGCTCGATCTTTTTATTTTTATTTTTGTTTCCCTTGGGGATAGAGGTGCACGCGAGGAAGAAAAAAAAAAAGTAAAGGACTATGTTTGCTTCGTGGCTGACTTTCGCCGTGCTCTGGGGAACTTTCTGTGCAGGTAAGAGCCTTTCGGCGTGTTTACCTCCCACTCGGACTCTCGGTCGCGTCTCCAAATGCAGAATTGAATGGGCCGTGCGGCTATTTGCAGCCACCCTCCACAGCAGAGCAGAGCACCCGAGCTGGGGAATCCCCCCACCGCTGCCATCGGCTTAATTTCCTTTATTATTATTATTATTATTTTGCTTTCCATCGCCTCGCCCTCCCTCTCCGTTTTCTCCCTGCTCGCAGGACAAGCCTTCCCCGTGCTGCTTTTTGTTCCCTCCAGGCAGCCTGTGGGAATTCATGACAATGTAAACACGGCGCGATCTCGAGGAAACTTTGTAAAAATGGGCATTTACTTCTGGGCTGGGGCGTGTGGGGGGAAAGCCGAGGAAGTTGCGTGGGTGTAGAAGTTGGGAGCAGCGGGAGGAGACCTGGGGATCGCTCCGGAATGGTGCAGGGTCTCTCAGGTAATGGCCATGTGTGCGCCCCGCTCCTGCCGGGCTGCGGTTGTGTAACGCGGGGTGGGGGGTTGTGGGGGACACCCCTCCGCCCCGAGGGCACCCTCTGGTTCCCCATCAGCCCCACGGGGCGCCGCGGTCCCGTAGGGGTTGGCACGGAACGAGCCTTTTGGGGCTGGCTGGCGCCGCTGGGAGCTGGGAGAAAGTTGGGAAAAAGGGGATGTGCGGGGCAGGGGGTGCCTGGGGGAGCATCCCTCGGGAGGAGGCTTCTGAGGCGGAGGGTGTTTGTTTTGTATGTTCTTCATCCCGTTTATTTTACGGACGTGGGTTGGTCCCCAAACTTCACCTCCAACCTGCGGGGTGCGCGTTGTGCCGAGGGACGCGGGTGGAAGTTCACCCACAGCCCGGACACGGCCGTGGGAGCAGGAGGAGGCACTCGGAGCAGCGCTTCGGGAGGAGGGGAGGGGTCTCCATGGGGTGCCCCATCCCGCAGCCCTCGGGAGGGGGGGGGCGGGGAAGGGGTCAGACCCCCTGTGCTCCCCCCAGCACTGAAAACGCGGGCACGCTGGAAATCCCCGCACTCCCCTCTTACCTCTTTTTAATTTTTGATTCTGTTATTATTATTTTTCCTATTCCTTTTTTATTATCGCTGCATATCCCTCAGGGGAAACAGGGGCGGCAGCAATTTTGCCCCCTCCCTTACCTGGTCACCACGACACCCCGGGGCTGAGCTCGCAGCCCCCCGCCCCGGCGCTGGGCAGTGACTTGTTACGGTCCCTCCATCTCCCGGCCCGGGGATGGGGGGGCACGGGAGGGTGACGAGAAAAGAAGGAGGGGGGCTCTTTGCGTCCGGGGGTTCCCGGGGGCAGGGTGCGGGAGGCAGCGATGCTGTAGCAGTGCCCCGCTCCGCGATGGGCAGCCGGGGAGTTCCCGGCGGCTTTTTGCCATCGCGGCTTCCTTATATCGCAAAGCGGGTGGGGGTAGGGAGGGGGGGGGTTCCCCGCGTGTGCGTGTCCGTGTCCCCTGCCCCGGGGAAGGCGCTGACCGCCGGGGCCGGGGCGCGGAGCCGGCCCCGGGGCGCTCCTGCAGCCGGGGCTTCCTTTGTTCCGAGTGCCCATTAAATATGCGCTGCCACCGCCTGCCTCTGCCATTACCGACAGTGCCAGCGCTTCATTATTTATTTATTTATTTATTTTTTAAGTCACACCGAAAGTGTGTGTGTGTGTGTGAGTGGCAATAAAAAGGGAGCGGGCAATAAAAATTAAAAAAAAAAAATTAAAAATAATGTGTTGGTGAGCAAAGCCTGCTCGGGGTTTTTTTATCTGATCGCTGGGACACTTGTACGCAGCTTTGTTTCCATGTGTTGGGAAGGGGGTTGTGCGGGTTTGTATTTACCTACTCTCCAGTGCCGAGGAGAGTAGGTATTTTGGAAGGAGCAGGCGAGGGGGGGTGTGTATGTGCCAGCAACATTCCTGGTGCTCGGCGTTGCTCTCATCACAACAGCTCTCCTGGCTGGAAAATTCTATTATGTACATAAAGGAGATTTATGGTCATTGTATTTTCTTTCCATATATCTTGGAATCCTTTTATCTCGGGTGATTCAATAAAAGGAGATGGCTTCCGGATTTTTTGGTTTTGTTTTGGGTATGGCGTTAGGTTTTTGTTTGGCTTGGGTTTGGTTTTTAACCTGATCCCATGGCTCTGTGCATACAGTGGTTGAAACCTAAGTTGGAGGAAAAAAAGCAATTGCTTTAAGAAAAATGAACCCTGAAAGCTTCTTAAATGTATCATGTTATGAAAAGGATAATCTGACAGGGCATACCTATGCTGACTTTTTCTCCCCCTGAAAATACAATAAAGAAACCCTAGAAAATTAGTATAATTCTGTTTATTTGAAAATGTCCTCTTGAATCATTAAATCAGTGCATTAGCAATTCTGTAAATCCCTCTCTCTCTTTTAAAGCCTTTCTGTCCTTCTTCTGATATTTATGAGTGTTTATCAGCGTGATCTTCATTGTCCAGTTTTAACTAAAGCTGTTCAGTCAAAAAAAAAAAAAAAGAAGAAAACAAAGCTCAGATACCCAAAGTTGGAATGTGTTGTTGGGATTCAGACCACTGGGCTTTGCTTGAAGTATATCTTTTGTGTGTGTACATGTTAGGGCTCTGCAAAAGTGGTGGGCTTTTCGAAAATCGCTTGACCTCCATTGTTGGTGCTTCTCATCGCTACCTTGGCTGACTGTAACAAAGCAAGCACGGGCTGCTGTTCTTTAAAAAAAAAATCTGTTATGCTTTTTTTTTTTTTTTTTGAGTACTGAGGATTCATTGAGGAAAACATTATGTTCATTTTTAGCCCTTTGTTTGCAAATTCTCTGCAGCCCAAATGTTCAGAAATCATGTTTTAATCGATGAGCTTGGGAAAATACAGAAGGTGTAAAAGGAGTTGTCTTGCAGAATGCATTGCTAACATGTTTTCCGAGCCATTACATTACTTTTATTTTGGTGCAAGTTTAAGTAATGCCATGCAGCAGTGAATTGTGCTGCAAATGGATCTGGTCTCCTCTTTCACTGTCTTCTATTTATCCTCTTGTGCTTGAGAAAGGGAATAAAACTGGCTTCATTAGCCTGCTAATTAAACACAATGAAGTGCGTGGCCCAAGGTTAATGGCAATGGCCTTTAAAAACACAAAACTCTTGAACAGGTGTTTGGGATATATTTTTTTTTAATCGGCCATCAAATCTAGATAATTATACTACTGCGATAACCATTGTCAGAGTTCTGTGGAGAAGAAAATGCTATGTTTGAGGTGCCAGTGAGCAGTGTATTATTTTTAGTGACATTATTTATAAACATCTCTCCAGGTCCTGCACAGCCTGTGGTTTAACTCTCCCCTTCTCCCCGCTCTCCATTTCGAAGCATCTTCTTCATCTTTCCTTTGGTTGTTTGTTTTTGTTTTTGTTTTTTTTTTCCTGAATCAGGCAGGGTTAAAAATTCTGTATCCCTGCACCACTGTGAGGGTCTAACCTGAGCCTGGGGAGTTAACTAAAGTATTTACACACTGAAATTTCTGCCATTTCTCGTGCCTTTGGGCAGCCCGTGCAGGCTGCGAGGCTCCTGCTCGCTCGATGCGACAGGAAGAAGCAGCCAATTAAAGCGGAGGGCTCGCACTGCCCGCGTTCGAGCTGTCACCAGCCTCCTGTCCACTCTGCTCTCCATCAGCTAAAACACGCTTGTCAGGTTTTTTTGTGCTTTACATGATGCAACAGTTGTGGACCTCCCCTGCTGACTCTGAATAGATCGTAGAGAAGAAAGAGATGGGCCAGCCTCACTCTTTTTTCCTTCCTTTTTTTTTGTTGTTTTTGTTTTGTGGTTTTGTTTTGTCTGCTTTTTGTTTGTTTTTTCTGTTTTGTTTTTATTCTTTCCCTCCCGCCATTTTCCCCCACCCCCATGCATGCACTCCTTGCTTTGCAGATCACCCCAGAAGGATTTCCTGGCTTTTTCCAGTTCTGGGAAGCAGGACAAGTGCACAGTTTGGGACGGAAGAGAAGTTCCAAGAGGCACATCTTTTGGAACTTGTGTAATGGGATGATGGGGCCAGCTCAGGAATCCCACTACTGTGGTTTGCATCATTCCTGTCCGTGGGGTGGGTCACTCTGCAGAAGTGTTGCAGGTGTAAAAGGAACCAAGGGATGTATCTTTATCAAGAGCAAAAGAGGTGAGTGACAAGAGAGGGTTTGAGGTTGGGCACCTGTCAAAGGTGTGCTTGTTGCTCTACCCACATGGTGCCTGTTCCTAGAAAGCCGGGAACACCTTTGAAATTAAATAAGCAGAAGTCAAAGTTACTCCATGTTTGGGGCCTTGTAGTGTAATGTGCTTTGGGTGTCATGTTGCAGGACCTGCTTTTAGAAGCATTTCTAAAATTCAGTGTTAAGAGTAGCTGACCTTGTGGAGCTGCAGTAGAATAGTCAGAATTAAATGGGATTTTAGGAACCCTGGATCTTTGAAGCCCAACAAAATATAACAACCTTCTACCAAACACACCCAGGACAGTAGTCTAAAAGTTATGAAAGTGACTTGGTAACCCCCTGCTTCTGGTTGTGCAAGGCCAAGGCAAGGTAAGACCCTGGATGCCCCTTCTCCAGAGAGTACCACACCCAGTGCTGGGCACGGCCCCTCCTTATGGTGCCTCCTGTCAGTTGCCTGGAAATCTGTGTCTCCAGCCCTGTCAGCTAGCGCTGGAAAACTGTTCTTGTACTTTGGGAAGGGTGAAAGTAGGGGAGAGAACCTGTTAGAGTTCAGTGGTGATCTAGACCCAACTGAAAGCCCTCACCGGCTCTTACCCTCAGCTTTGGCAACTGGAGAACTGCTCATGTGCTGAGAAAGTCTTGCAAAGGCAACTTGGGTTGGTCAGTACCTGCTGTAGAGTTGGTTTTCTCTTTCTGCTGGACTGTGAGGAGTGGTGTCAAAAAGGCATGTGGCAGCTTTTTCCAGGTTCCTCAGACAGCTGTGGGCAGGGATGCAGGCAGCGAGGTGCTGTGCCTTGGCAGTACTGCAGCACCC